GAAATCGGGAATCAGCGGATTAGTATGTCGGCTATGCATGCGCATCGAAATAAATCACTTGTGTCAAACATATCCAGTGATAGCGTTAACCTGGATCATGCTCAATCTTCTCTATTCAGTTAACTGAGTCGCATTAAAAAATACCGTCCCGATCCCACGACGTCAAAACCACATCAGAGCTATTTAGTAAACAAACCGCTTTAAACAAAAAGACTTTAACTGATAGTAGTTAAAGAAAATTATTGAAAAGCCCGTTGATTGTAGAATTATCCAGCATGAAATTTATTGGCACAACCATGCATTCCTATCTAAGTATCTAGAATAGTAATAGTACTTTACCTCGTTGGTCCCAGCTTATGTTAATGTGTACAGTAAAGAAAGCATCCAAGACCTCAGCGCATTTTCCTGCCGTTCTGCTTATCCTTTCAAAATTCACTTACTCCATCTGTACAGACTCTACTCAGATCACATACGAACGTTGCACTAAAGACAATGGAATTCGGCAATAATGATAGTAAGTTGTTCAGCAGCTCCATGGCCTCCTTCTAGTTAGGTCTCAAACGCGCTTCTCCGGCTCTGCTAAAAGATGGTCTCCCGCATCCAAACTTTTCACTCCATTTATGTAGACCAGCCGCTTTCTGTCTCACTGGAAGCATACTTCAGTAATCCTGCGATATAAAGTCAACTAAACGATAACATTTCAAACTATTGCCCGAAGAGTCACGCACCTATATTCATCAAATTAATGGGAAGTGTAAAGGATAGCGGTACCATTTCCTGCTTTCAAGAAAACTCGTAAGCAATTCGCAGCACTTTTTTCAACTATCATTCAACCGATTTGTGCCTACCGGATGTACGTCATGATTGGTTGGTTTTCATTGTCTTATCAGACATAATTTTCCCCTTACTGTGCTGAATTTTATATTGTCTAAAATGTAGGAGCAACCTCCTAACAAATCTGTAGGTTAAACACCATGTATGTGCTGATGAGATTGTAGCTCCACATCCATAGAGATCTTTTGCATTGATTAGAGCTATGTATTCACATACAGAGGAAACATTCAAACTAATCTCGTAAAGCATTCACTTGTAACAACCTAGCATTGGCGTGTAAATACATCATTATTATTGTCATTATGATGCTGTTTAAATGTGGTTTCCAACTGCATTCTTGCAATATGTGGCGAAAATGGCTTGCACGGAATGTCTAAAAAAACTCTCCCACCATTTAATTTCGTTACTTGACAAAGTGGAGAATGCACACAGATACATTGCTCACGAGACAATATATGCGAATGTTTGCAGCGAATGTCCGACTGCTGTGAATTAACAGCGGTTATTTGTAAGTTCTATACATCACGATGGTATATCAGTTGTCGCACAGAGCTTGGGATGATTAACTAGTTTCCACATCTGGCTTAAACTTCAGAATAGGATGAGTATATCGTGTACGCCGTGAATACTTATTCAACACTCCTTATACTCTATTGCTAAAACGCTTTCGTCTACCAGCAGCAAATAAGGAACATAATTTCACCATAAAATTTCAACGATCGGATTCCGGTATAAACTGGAAAGTATGTTAAAAGTGTCCACTGTCTCATTGAGTCGCCACAATTTGGAAATGTGTTCATCTGGATTCAACATATCAGTTTTACTAACTAAATGTTACAGCCTAAAGACTGAAGCTTTTTCTACAGCTGTATGAAGCATTGTCTATTTTGACACCGATCAGCGGGTAAGCAAGCGGCTGGTTTGGAGCTGAAAAGATAGATACAGATAAAGTGTTCAGTGTCAGCTAAGTGGGGGATTGTAGCTTTTAACGTAATACGCTGCCGCAACATAAAAATGTGGTAATACTGATACCTGATACAGGGTAGTAATAGTTGAAAAACAAGACCAAATGAAGGGAACAAATGTATCTATTGATCAGTCTATCTTTCGCGTTCTTGATGAAGCAGACCACGACGAATCCGAGCGAGTGGATAATGCAATAGTTAGTGGGTTGAAGAAGCTCCTGTAAGCAGGACTTGTTGATGCAATACTTTGGAACAGTTTTGCACTCGGGGCCCTTGAGGTTCTAATAGGTGTGGTATACCAAAAGATCAAAAGCAAAATTTCGTCATATGTCCAGTAGTTTCACTGACAAGCGCACGGAAACCAAACGTGCCTCATGTCTGACAAATTTTAACAAGCCCATCCGGAGATAACTTTCCGGATACAGCCTGAGAGACGCATGTGAATTTTTAGAAAATCTTGGAATTTTAACCCGAAGAAAAAGTTGCGGGATCAATGATGTTATGTGCTCAATATTTACAAAGATCCGTATGAGAAAGTCGTAGGACATATAAGTGAGACATGTATAATATTTGGGCTCCCAAAGCTCCAACTTAAGCGTTATTTCACCTATACAAAATATATTCACTTCCGATACAATAGAACCCTGTATCGACGGATCGACGGCTTGATCTTGGGTATTAAACTAAGCACATTTAAGGCTGTAGATTTTGCACAAATTTATGATCAGTATATAGACGGCAGTATACCTACTTTAAAAGAGGAACATATGTCATCGTGCGACCACGCTCACGATTGAAAGCGAAAATAAAGAATCCTTTTATTTCTGAAATACAACTTTACGCAAGGAAAGAAACATCGCGATAGTTTGGTCTGTATACGTATTACTTCAACTTTTCTCTCCGGGTAAAATCGACAGTGAACAGGAACGCGTCAGATCGCCAAGACAAAAAGGGATTCACCGTGCGATTCATAAGAGTTTACGCCAATAGAAACCCATGGATATAATGGTACTGGTAACAAAATGGTAAGTATTAAGCTGCGGGTTAAGTGGGACCAAGCTGACTGGAGATGTTAGTGTCGGCTCCGCCAATCTGTTAACAATTAATGGTACGCGGCTGCGCCAGTGGTATTTATCAAGTAATAAATTTTCTGTACAGATCCAAGCTTTACTCAGAAGTCACTGCGTTATGCATCTGCGCTTTTAAATGTACGTGCGGGTTCGAGTACACGGGCAGATCTGAGAGAAAGCTAACAGCAAGGAATGCATAGGTAGTCCAGCGTTGCATGGTTGCAAGTAGCCAACAGAAATCCACGTATACCATTGTCACTTGCTCTGTGTGCCGAAACCCAGGTGTAGGGTTGCAGTTAAGTATCAAACAAAGCAACCGCTGCCTACTTCATTTCATTGAATCATCAGCTAGTTGGCCTTTAGAAATAAAATTATCCAGAGAGAGATTCCGTGTACAATCTAGTGCTTTTCTGGTCAGGTCATTGATGGTTTAGCCACTGCACCGGATTTAGGTGGACGCATTGGCTTTCAGCTGAGTTAACTTTCATTATGACATCGCGCTTTGATTGTTTTATATAGGCATCCTATTTATTCCACAAATTTCTATATATGGATTATGTTAAAACGCAAAATATCCGGATTCAGTATATCCTGTGAAAACTGGCTGCGTTTTGTGACACTAATTCTTATAACAACCTGAACGTGCCCTTTGGCACTTGATCATTTCTGACCTTAGTTCTTCTCTCAACTCCTTCTTTTTCCACCTAGATAATCCACCGCTATATTCTTCTCATAATCCTGCCTCTTTCAATTGAGTTTCAAATATTTGCTACTGAACATGCATTGCTGCAGTTACATACTCATGCTGTTTTGGTAATGCCATATATTCAAACTGATGGCGTACGCTGTGCTACATATTAATATATCTGTTGCGTAGAAGTAATTAGAATAAAATGTAATTTATCGCCTATACAGCATATGTTTTCTTCGTTGGACAAAAATGAACACCAAAGAAATGCCTTATTTTTAATTTTCCGCCTTAGGTTCTGTTAAGGTACATACCAAAATTACGCAAAGATTTTCCAGCGCAAGCAAAATAATATTTATCTTACTGTTTAATTGTATTGCAGTCTACACAGGAGCGAATACATTCCTATAACAGTATGGTTTATTCACGAAGTTGTCCTATGACGCTATCGTCTGTTGTTTTTATAACGTTAAATCGCATAGATTCAATCGCAGCAATACATGCCATGTAGGATGTTCAGTGCGACCATTGTATTACTTTTTTACATGTTGTTTCTCAAACATTTTGATAATCAGTCCGTTTATACTGCAATTTCCTCACTGTTTATGAGGAATCATTTTCTCCCTCTAACTTGTCTGATAAGTAACCATGATAGGGAGTTTATCCTTCTTACGCCATAGCTTTGGCGGCTCAAGGTCTTCTAACTATATCTCGTTAAGGGAGGACATATTTAGCGAATTAGAACACTTACAGTTGGTCATGTGATACGCAGGGTTGACTTACGTAAACCATGTTTTCCCTGTTTTCAGCTTCAAAGAGTTCACCACTATGGTGCTAGAGCACACTAAACACCAATCATCGAATATACTTTTCAACAAAAATCCGTGAATTTATTGCGTTGGTACACCTTCATCCAAGACTTTTGACAAGTGCTTCGTAGTGTGCACAAATGCATTATGTCAATTGCTTCGCATTGATGATGGAGGACTAGTATGCGCACCACTACCGCGAGTTCTGCTTAATTTATTTTCCTAAACACGTGCACGCCACGATTAGTTATGGCACGATATCTTCAGTAGTTGCACCGCCTACACCAAGACCTAAGTGCGATTAGATCGCGATACACAATCTAGGATAAGATTTGGATTTACTTTACAGCAGACCACGGATATTACCATAACAATGCAAGTCTGTGCAGAGAATATATTCCGGTAACATATCACGGGTTAATCGGCATTCAGGACGAAGGAATGCATATCAATATTTTTAGTAGAAAACTCTCGCTGTTCCCTACATGTAGCCTCATGAGAAAGAACCAGCCAATTAGAGCTGAAGCAGTAAAAGGAAAACTTGCAGTCTTTATTAGAGGAATAAATCAATTGCTCACAAATATCCATTGGACACATTATTCAGTGCACTCCTTTGACTTTGTTGAAAATACCGCTAACGTGTACCTGCAAAATTTAGACGTATCAAGTGATAAAACATTGGAACCACATTGCAATATATATTTTTACGGATTCTCAACGGTTGAACATTTGGACTTCAAACAGAAGCAATTTGTGTTTCTATTCAACAGATTGTGAGTCCATTTTAAGTAACGTGTTGACAGCGATTCGTATTAAACAGATCCTCAATCAAATCAAACACTGCAACCGTTACTACTGAAGCTGGCAGGTTTATCCCACCCGAAAACACTGCACTGCATGATAGGCTTCAAGCTAAATTATCCCATCAGTTAGAGATCAAAAGGACTCAAAATCCGAGCCCATTGGATATAAGCCGAAGCTAAAAACCACTTCAGCCACAGGGTCACGACGGGCGGACGTTGTCGCGCAGATTAATGACTGACCAGAGGGCCATTTTTAACCATTGGGTGCGCGAAAGTATTGCGATTCGAAATCAGGTGTACAATGCCCAATACTCATTTGCTAAATCATTAGGATTAGACTGGCCTTTAGGTCGCGTCATTTGCGACATAATCAGAAGCATTGCGCCATATCAGCGCACGTTAACCATTCCGCCAAATGTGGAAGACAAAACGAAAAATTGGCCTTTTACTTTAGCTGCAAAACCACGTGGAAAAAGAATACTCTAATAAATTAGGAAAACAGTATAATTTGATTAGAATTTTGGCACAGAAAGCATACGCCTTTGTCTTTCTATGAAAAAGTTTGGCTGGTTCAAACGAATTGCCAGTAAGCTTTAAAACATTCTCGACTTATGTTACTTTAATCCCAGACTTCATACCGTTATGGGATGAATTATATAAGCAGCTATATCTATTCCATCGGACCATTGCCAATAACCCCAGGTGGAGAGATAATTTACGACTTCTTCCAATTCATCATTTCTGTCATGGACATTACTAAAGTATTACTTGCTGTCAAAATTAAGTAGCCAGCTGATTAGTTAAAATCTCACTCACTTTGAGAAACATCCGCCAAACGATCAATCAACATCACATATGTGTTCATTGTTTTGAACGAGTCTGATAAAAGATGAGACGTGCACACATGAGTTGCAAAATCATTGTAAATAATCCCTATATCTCGAAGCCATTTTGTTTCTCATAGTGAAAAGTGAATTGGTAATGCCGGGTTGTCAACCAAAGTACATATTGTTTTTGCTTAGTATTAGGTCACCTATCTACCCTAGCTTAGAACCGCGAAAATGTCAGAGAGAAAATTAGTAATAAGGTGTTGTTTTACTTCTTAAATCGACTTGGTTTACTGAACACTTAGCAGTACAACTGAGATAATGTTGCTTAGACTACTTATTGTATTTCCTGTGATTGAAAATACACAGTGTTTGGGAATATGAACAGCAGGTAGATGTTGATTGAGGTAGTTTTGTGAGCCTAAAGTTGGCAGGGGGCTAGTAATTGTACAATAAAAAAGCTCCTCAATCATATTGCTACTCATTAGTCGTTAGTGAATCATAAATGAATGCCAAATATCCTCATGAAATAAGAACATTCATCTGGGTTTTTTCCATATCCATAAATAAATAAATATATATATATATATTAATTTAACCCCAATAGCTAATGAAAACTTAATACATTTTAGCAGTTACAAATCAAAGTGCAATTGCGCGCCCTGCACAGGTACTGTGATGAAAACCATATTTTTCCTATCCGCTGTACAGTTGGACCGAACTTATTTTATCCATATATGACGTTCGGTTGCATAATTTTAACACTAATTTTGAAATGATCCAGTTTCATGAGCTAGACCATGAGTCAATCTACCACCGTGTTGTTCATAGTTTTTCAATTCTCACTACTTGATGTTGTGCTAATCTGTCTGATTAAGAACCGTATGGGGCCTTGGTGAAATTCATCATAACAAATGATTGCTGATGACTACCAATTTTGTTAGCATAGGTGTTCAAATGAATACCAATGGATCAGAGCTTCATACCCTCAACGAACGGAGCAAATTTCAAGTAAATAATTTTTCGACTTTAACTACACTCATGATTGGCTGCGCAGTTTAGCCTAAAATGCAGGGTAACCTTGACAAAGTGAACAATATATGGAGTTGAATTTGCTTACATCTACTTATTGTTCCTTACGTTTTGCTTAGTATGTGCAATACGCATATTATTTTCTATTAAATGTCAATGCTTATTGGCTGTACACACTCACTGCAACGATTCCGCTGCACTGGTTAATTAGTGGTCACCGAATGTTCTGAGTTCACTTACGTGTGTGAATTTCTTGATTGATTCCAAGAAGGTTCTCAAGTAAAGAATGTTCTTCCATTGTTACTGTTCGGAGGAGTTAAAGATATAGCGAAATGTAGGCTGTGGATAACAACACAATTAAATCTGACAGACACAAATTAACAAGCCTACGGCTATCATGCTCAACGCTGATTCTAATGCATCTGGTTCATAGAGTTTCAGGCAAATGTTAGTTGCTTTAATTATGTGATGGACTGCGTATCCAGCGGGGCTTTAATGACAGCACATAACGCTAACGGAAATTGATATGAAGTGCTCATCCCGTAGTTCAAGCGTTATTTGGTGTGCTATTTTTAATACGGTCTTGGAGAAATTTAATGCTATTTAGAGCACTTTGGCATGCCCTTTATAGGCAACGCTTGTTTCCACATTGTAGCAACAATGCATCGTCAATATTTCGTTGGCAATTTGGTGCAAACGTGGAGTGTTACTTTATTGCACGCTTAGGACGCAATGAGCCAAGCAAAGTAACTGTATATGCTGCGCCCCTACACAGGGCATTTTCATAACAGATAAACACAATGCTTAGTTGTTCCACTGTCTGGCTTATCCACGCTGCTTGAACACTTCGTGAAACATATTCAACCTCTTTGTTACCGGTTCATTGTCTTTGTGAGGTACATAGAGCACCTATTTAAACTTTCGACTGGGAGTGCCAATGATCTCTCAGTAGGTCACCAGGTTATCCTTCGCTTACATCTGCATGTCACCTCTAAACTAACGGCTCTGGCAAAACACTTGTTATTATGCAATCATCTTCAAGACCACAGCTGTGTGTCAGATTTTGAGCAACTACCATAAATGGAGATGCGTTAGATAGCACATATAGTTATTTCGTTGCGGGTAAGCTCATCTCACTGACGATTGGATCTGCAAGCCTGAATAGATTCTGGAAGCGTGCACTGGTAAATAAGGTCGTATTTTGTACATAGATATCCCTGTGATTGCCGCTCCGGTCAAGAAGTCCTGCAATGAAAACCTTAACGCGGTTTATATCGCTAATCGCTTTACTTCGCACGCGACGACTAGTTAATAAGTTACACCAAAGCCACTGTAATTCTTAATGACACTGAAATGAAGCACCCATAACTACGCGATCAGAATCGCCCGGATTATTACAAAGTCTGTGTGGATTTTTTTGACCGCTAAAAACAAATTCGTAGTTTTGAGAAAAGCGAAATAAAGCGACTTTTGTTGTAATCTGTTGAGGGTGTCTGTGTAAATGCTTTCAAGTCCGATAGTCCACTGAATGCTCAAAAATTCATTAGACGTCCGACCCTTTACTCTGCAACTTTCGTAAATTACATGGCAGTGGAGGATGAGAAGTGCCATATCCTAGTTAGCTAGCAACTCATTACTGTCCAACGCCGTCCCCAATGTGTAAGTAGCGTAAGCTAGTGATTTATGATACAAGCCCCTGATGGACATGGGTTCGATTCCTGATTAAACCGATGGATTTACGCCACTGACTAGACTAAAATGGTGGAAACTGTGATCTAGTACTTTCAAGGCATATGAAAGAATACCTGACTTGGAAACCAATGCGAAGAAATCCCAAGCAGTTAGAAGCTGATATCTCTTGCTGTAACCATGATCAGTAATAGAATACAGCGCAAGTTTTAGAAGATATAGATTGTTAGGACTGCGCTTCTCAGCTTTTACTGGTGATAACTATTGATCTCGGGGATATACTGCCACACTGAGTGTTGACACACCCGAATCAGAAATGGCTTAAAACGTAAGCTGCAAAAGACAAACAGATTTTAGGCTATATATTTTCGATCTATTTTTCAAACATAATGAAAAATTAATTTGAGAAACGCGTAATTTGTGGGTGACGTCTGTTAATCGAATATTAATCAGTTTCCTTTATGCTAAAAACAGCTACTTAGTTATAACATTTGCTGACCCTAAGACACTTATTTTTGAGGATGACGTTAAAGGAGCCACATCTCAACACTAAGAGGAGCCGCTAAATGTTTTTCACTGGTTTAAGAAACATCACTGGGTAAAACAAATCCTTCTACTTCAGCTGCTGATGTGACTGGTAAAATTCGGCCGAAATATACGACAATCTTAATGACATACAAATTCGTGTCTTCCTGATACATCAAACTCACACTTTGTTTGGTTCACGAAGTCAAATGCTGTAAGCAACAGAGTTTCCTGTCGAGCTAATACGCCTGAGGAATCAGAATGAAATTGCAGCTGCGAATGAATATTGAGGCCCTTTACTTTCAACAATAGTGAATCCTAAGTTGCCTCAAACGTTTGAATGAATAAACCACAGTGCGCTTGTCAAATCGTATTTGGGCCTGATATATTCACGGAGAAATGTGTCATTACTTGCAATATCGCTGGTTACAAAGGATTTAAGTTGACAGAACAACCATACACAGAAACGTATTGAGGGAAGACAGATTATGTGGAAACAACGAGGTTTTTCAACTACTAAGCAGTCAAAATATGTCGTCATAATTTAATAACCAATATAAGTTGGACAGCGAACGCAGTGCAATCCGACTGTGAATTCCTGTATGCACTTTTGATGTTAAACAAACCAAATAGTGGAAACGTGCTTACTGTTCGAACTGCCTCGCGTGTTCTATTAGATGATGGCAGCTGTTCTGAATTTGTCGTTAAGATCTGTACAAAGGATCGTGGAATTTTGGGATCTGCTCATAGGTTTATTTAATTAATGTAGAAGCAACTGTTTGTGATAGGTTATACTCTATATTCTAAGGATCTACATAACTCATGGACAAAATTCTGTTATGTTTATTCGTTTTGGATGCTCAAACGCCGGTTTGTATTTTATGGGCATTCCCAATGATTGATTGAAGTTGACGCAATGAAATATAATTGCAGCACATTTTATATATTAACTTATTTCACTGAGCCATACTCCTTTCCAATGATCCACAAACACCCCATTTTATTCAACCGAGTGCGTCCAAACACAAAACAGAACTCAACCAATCGTTTAGATGCTATAGAATGTTGTGACTCACCAGTTATGTAAGATTCGATATACATCCGCAAACTCGACAACAATGTGCTCGTGTGTTCAGCGGCTAAAGAAAATGAAGCAAGAGGATTATCAGCTTGCACAGGAAGTCTTTGGTAAACGCATCACCACTAAGGGGAATAATTTGAGGAGTAATTTGGATATAAATGCGGGTTCATCAACTATATCTAATGGAATAAATATTTTCCAAAGCAAATCGAATAGCTGTGCAGTCTGAATGCTATGCGTTTTGTTCGCTGGTTTCCTGTCAGCCACTGTTTCCTCGTCATCTCTCACCTGTATCCGGTCAACGGTTAAAATACCATAGAGTTTTCTCTCAGGTTAGAGCGATCCCATGTAAATAGTCTAAATGCAAAAGCTGAACCGTCAATTGGTTTCGCCATCTAAGTTTATCCACATAACAGCAAATTATGTATGATCACACCAGCTAAAAATTGTGCGTCACTTATATGCCATTACGAATATTCATATCATTTTGTGAAGCTCAGTATTAGTTGCGTCACTGGGCTCTTAAGCAATTTGCGACTTCTGCGTTTTTCGGTAGATTTGCTGAGAAGTGCACCATGAAATTCACTTTATCTTGGAGGTTAAAAGAACCATTCTGAGAAATATGGATCACAGTTGATACGTACGTGCAGCTAGTTTCTGGGATGGTTTATTCCTAGGGCAGTGTCAAGGGCATGTGGTGTTAGCTTGAAGTACATTGAGAACATCCACGGGCAGCGAATTGTTATTGAGAAAGCATTAACAGGCATAAATAGATTAATTGAACGTATAAACCAGTTGGCACACCGAACGGCTCCAAGTAGTCGCAACCGAATTCCTATGCGGGAAATAAGACTGGGTAGTGATAGTTGGCTGAGAAGAGGTTAGCGTACAAACTACGTAATCATATGCTGAAAACAAGTAGAATCTACAGTCTTGTGTATGAATTTTGAGCGTTCATTGTCGTTGTCCGCTAGACTTACCCGTATTTGGCATTGTCAATGATGCCATTCTTTGTAGGAATACTTCCGTGAGTTCTTCGGATCCTGCAACAAGCATTACAACACAACATTCGGTGAGTTGACTGTGCCATTAAAGTTGTTTGTTCGTGAAAAAAACCCTGTTATTTTACGTATAATGCTTTCAATTTCCCATCAAGCATTTTTTATTTCAAACAGTAGATGGTCGCAGATTGGTTAACAAATGCTAGCATTTTGTTTTATCCTTGGAAAAATATGCATATTTATATGAAGAAGTATTACGAACTTACTGCGACGGTCTGTTAATTTCCATGACGCATATTGTGGAATAAAAATTGCAAATTTTTGCATTTTGCCAAAAAATGCGTACAAACAATCTCCAATTTGTTAGTTGCTATTTCAGCCTTGATTCAATAGAACAAGTTTACTTGAATTGCATTTTCTTATGGATCTAGCCATTGCTTTCTTAACAATTTGTAAAGTAATTATAACTGCCCAGAAAATGTAAAACAGTGTTTTGTATGTTATTTAGTAAGTATTTTATGTACATATGTAATCATCGTTTATGTCTTAGCAGCATAAATATTCACTCCATTATTCTCAAGAGAAATCTGTGCGCATCTTTCGCAATAATGTAACCTGCAAGACTTTTACCCTCAGTTATCTATCTTCTAACGAAGAGGAAAGCTGTGTACAATTCTCGACACCAAATGCATCCGCATTGCTTGCCACCAGATTTGGAAATTCCCATAATCCATCCACAATTTGTTTAACATAAAAAGACTTTTCTTAATCTTAGTAATCGAGGAGTAGTTTTGTAAACAACAAACGAATGAGTTTAAGATAGATCGCTCGATATTACTGATAAATAAAGACTCTACTTTTGATTTGTATAGTTTTAGCCGGTTGAAATGCTAGCAAATCTATAATTGTCCGTACAACTTCTGAACGTCAGCTTAGGTCCACTAACCCAGCGTTCAATCATGCTAGATTTATTTTTCGCGAACAGAAATTAAATGTTACCAATGGACTGTGAAATATAACCTATCAATCCATGAATGCCTCAAAGAGTGTCAACGTTCAGTGATTTGAATAGAAAAAGTCAAAACGGATCAGCTGTTTAATAGATAAATATTTGAGCTTTTAGGTATATAACAAGCTACGTCTGGCACTGTTCAATGCAAGTGGCTGCGATATGCTTGTGATTTTGATCTCATGGTCTGTATGGCGTGTAGGCACATGCTAGCAAATGCAGTAGTTAAATGGCTGATTCGGATCGTAGTATTTTACGTTGGGTGAAAATGAGGTACATTTGACTTCGCTAATCAGCTCTAGACACTGGTATACAATCAAATAATTATCCTCCTAGACCATGCGCGGTATAAATCTGACACATTTTGCACTTTAGATGTTAAAACTAACATTAGATGACAATTCGATTCAGGCTAGTTTCTCGGTAGCTTCGAATAGTAAAGCAAAGATGGTAAAGTGAAACCCTCAATGCAATTAGTTAATTGAGCTGTCAGAATAAATTTACAAAATTGCAGTGTCAAACGCAACTTCGGTTAATCAGGACCAATGGTTAGTGGAACCAGGAAAATTCCGAATAACCGAACTCTACTATCGGTCTCCATTAATCTTTTATTTATTTACTCTTGACACGGAAAACAGAGTAATAACGGGAGAAAGTGCACCAGCATGTCTGGCCACAAGAATAGCTTCCGTCCTTGAAACAATAAAACGCAGCTGACCGATTAGATCTCGGTTCAATCTGAATTCTCCAAATTCAAATATATGCAGCAAAACCTCTGAAGTTAACAAACTTCTTATCCCGACCACCGTGCTATGTCGACCGACTAGTTTCCGCTGCTGGAAACTTCATCAGGTAAACCCTACGGATTTAACACACTGTAAAACAACTAAGTATGGTAACCCCATGGCCCAGTTCCTTGAACGGTCAAGTTTCAATAGATTTAAAACTATATGTTCTGTAAAACAAATTTGGCAAAGCGAACATCGGATAAATCTTAAGGCCTACCTTTGGCTACCTGTACCCAAGTTTGTAGCATGGCGTCGTAATCGGCAGAGTTAAATTGAGAAGCTGAAATGCAAAACGTGGAAACATTAGGGTCACCTTTTTGACTTTTCGCAATATAGAACAAGAGGATTGGAATTCGAATTCGCTAGAAATTTATATGCTAGCAAGTGGAACTACAGCTGAGTTATCCCCATTCAACCAGACTAATTTCATAGGTCTATCGGCCGTACTATACAAGATTGCTTTGCAATCCTTGGGGTTCCATCTCTAAGGAGTACACCTCGTGCCAGCCAAAAACTACTGCTTGCAACATGCATTAGAACTTGAATGACAAAACACAAAATTCCTCTATTTAGAAAGAAGACTTACTCGAATGTCGGCTAAGGATTTCAGCCACAGACTTGTAGTTTCTGTTGTTGATTTCCTCCAACATTAGAAACGCATTAAAATGATAAATGTACTTAATGGAATCAAGAAAGTTGAAGTAACTGCGCATCGTTACTGAACTGCAGTCATGCACGAATTTCGTGATTTGTAATACTAAGTAGCGGTATTGTACAAATGCGTCCACTGGTTTTGCAAAATATAACAGAGAGGAATTGGTCAGCAATGATATGTGACAACTTGAGGAACGCAGTTGGAACGGGTGTGAGTTCAGTGATCTAATTTCGCTAGTATGCCCATGCGTATTGTGTATGGTACTAATATCATTGTGTTATTTTAGAAGCAAAGAATGTGCGTTTTGCTAAGCCAGTGTGGTTTGGAAGTAAACTAATCTGAATATTGAGAACTATGATAACTTGGGTATCTATTGCATAAACCGGTAAAAATTATGATGCCTCACCGCAAGGAAAGCCTTCTGAGCAGCGAAACAAATGGATGTCATTGAAAACCAGCCGTTATACACCTCAGAGTCTGGGGTTTAGCATATTCCATTGGAACCACACAATTTCAGCTTGAAAATGGGCTTATAGCCTACATTCTAAAATGAAACAGCAGTTGACAACAATTTAGCCCGATTCGGCCGAGATTGTCAGTAAATAATCAACGGCCCGTCATGGAAGTCCCAAATGAGGGATAAGCAAATATCTTTATGTTAGGGGCAGCGCCTTTATCTAAACTCCACTTGCTTATTGATTCCATCACCTGCCTGTGATAGTACACAGCGAGAAAATGAAAACTGCCATGTCAGCGTGTACGAAGAAAAATATGAATAAGCGTGTCAAAGCAAACAGCTGATATTGAGTAGGCGGTATGTACACCGAGCAGGTTTCGTATGTACCCACTTTTCACAAAGGAGCGGGCCCCCTGTGTAAGCATTTTGATAGCGTCGTACAAGTAACCGGATTCTAGGAGTAGTAAAAACAAGAGTACACACAATATCAATACATCACGTGTCATCAGTTTTGGAGTCGCTCAGGCATACTTAGAGTAGAACATAGTTTAAAACATTCTGTCTAAATGCGCGACTAAAACGGGAAATGTTTGCGATGTTGATTTCAGTCCATGATGCATTTTCATCTTCAACACGCAAATCAATATTCTTGCCACAGCACAATTATACGGTTAGCTGCGAACCGACATTCGGGCTGGTGCATGACGATCATCTATTCATAATTATAAGGGAATTCACATAAAAGTCACAACATAATTTTGTTGGTTTCATATAAAGCATTTCGATACTCGAGTAACTTGCTTAGAGCGCATGCAGTTTATTTGAAATTGGAACGGAGCAAAATACATGTCATTTGTGGATGCACTGTACGACGAACAAATTACTGCTCAGTCTAAGATTACAGAACAGTCTTCGTCAGGTTATACTTTGTGTTATAGAGTAGGAAATCTTCGGATCTTCCACATGCCTTGGCTTGCGCCTGAGGATGCGTAAAGTTCAAGAACACACTTCATTCATTCAACGTTGCGAACTCCAAGGACGGAGAAAAATGATCATCTTTTGTCTCATGAATACGGTGGATTAAGTAATATTCCCCTTGCCAGTGAAATAACTAGTCACGTGAACATACCATTGTGAGGCATTAATGGCTCTGAAAGCAACAATACGCGAGCACAAGATTACACAAAGCATGCACCATACATAATGGAATCAAAACTAATTTGTCAATACGTCTATCCATCTCTCCAATTATGTGTTATTACAGTAAAATTTCGTCGATAATTTTGTTTAACAAATGGTTTGCTTGGTCAAAAACGATGTTATTCCATTGGTTAATTACGTACAGAGACGACACTAGTTTCATCGGTATTGTATTTTCATGAATTGCGTAGGGAGAAGTTTTCATGCGTTTCATAGGATTATATTTGGATGAGAAACAGCTTACAAATCGGGAAATAAAAAGGTCGCTAACTAGCACATTTATTGCTCTGAGCATGGCCATGGAAGACTCGCATATATGCAGCACCCGGTTAATTAAATTTAATATGGCACATTCAATACCTTATCACTTAATCTCTTTGTACATCCATATCCCAGTCGTTTTAACGCTGATAAGCAATTTTATATTTTAACTATATTGTTGTATTAGCTGTTTAATAGCTTCTATGCATATTCTTTTTACAACGCGGAATGCATTTGGAATTGCTGTTGGCAAAATGTGTAGCGCAGTCTGTTTGAATTTACGGAGATCCATCGGTGTTTTGAGCTACACATAATGCACCGTCTTGCTTGATGTTAATTGCACTATTGACATGGGAATACAAGACCAGTTTAATGTTCAACTCGCTCTTACCGCTTTTTTTGGGCTGCTTACTGCTGCTCCTGTCTGCATGGGTGACGAGGGAAAAACGGTATTTTAGAATCGAATTTTTATGAGAAATACACATTTGCTACTGCAGACAATAAGCAAATGCAAGTGTTGCATTCCGCCGAAGTAAAGGAAGAGTTACATCTGATCAACACTACGAACACAAATAAGAAAATGTGCGCCTAAATCAAAGCGGCTTTCATAGCTTATTGCTACATTGTTGTAGGAGATACACCACAGCAGCAGTTAGATAGACAACCACTGAGTGTTCACAAAATTGCAGGACAGATATTTCATCATTATGCGAATAATCAGCAATGCGCATCCGGTATCTAACTAGTGATGTTAGAACTGGCGACATTACTCCCACAAACCGGATTATGATGTTCCTCGCGTTATTTCCTACGGGAATTTTAAACTGCAATATTGACCGTTCAATTTAGCTTGCCCATTAGCCCTTTGACTAATACTGTGTAAGTCTAGCTGACAATGACAAATGTAGATTTTCTGATGACAACTCAGCTTCTTGGTACAAGTTGAGCGAAGAATATATGTTTCCAGTAATGAGTACTTTGCATTCCATACAACGCATCCGATTCCATCTTTTGCACAGGGACTGTCTCACATGTACCCCTCCATCACTCATGCGAATCACCATGTTCCGGTACACTGTCCACATAATTATTAGAAAACAAAGGGCACATGATTATTCGACTTTTACCATGGGGCACGTGTTGTGGGTACGTGTTTTGGCGTCATTTATGTTCAATAAATTGCATGCTGCATCACTCCACTAAGCGCGAATTCCGTTACGTAATGTAGTGAATGTATAGAAACTGCTGGGTATGTTGTTTGTTCAAATTAGGTCTGATAAAGCAACCATTACAAACTACTAGGTAACCCGTACTATTTGCGATGACAAAGGTTGTCCTAATCTTTTAAGATCTTTAGGAAGACTTCGCTTTCTATTCCTAGATGAAGATTAGTGAACAGAATTGTAAGAGTTGACTCGGTGACACAAACCTCTGCCTGTTAGTTGATCCGACTTGGTTCCATACTCACATTTACAGAGGGTGAATGAAGCTGATGATCAGATTTGTGTTAGGATATTATGCATAATCTACTGAAGTATTGGAGCATGAAATGATCATTAGTCTGAGTAGTTTCAAAGCTCATCAGTTATACCGTTTTACTATTGTCATACAAACTAGGCAATGATGAGTACAAGCTTCAGCAGATACTGGATTAGCGGAGTCAATTGCAGTCTAGAAATCAATACGACATGAATCTACTATCCGTATTATGGTAAACTTACCTCTCTTTAGAGGGATTTGTGTGGGCGCCGTTTCTGAGAAAAGTAAAGAGTGAAGATGCAAACGTTTAGGTACTCTAGTGTCAACATATTAAAGATGAAATTTATCTAACACAGCAATGTTATAACATATGGGATGTGAATGTGTATCCAACAAAATGTATATGAGATAAAACTACATCTGATATAAGCAGTCCAAAGCAATGTTAAGCTGAATATCGTTTGATCAATTTGAATGCCGAATCAATTAAATACATGTAATCTTCCAAACAAAAACAACAAAATATTTCATTTATGCAAGTTAACATGTGTATAACATAACACGCGGAGTAATTGATTGTCAACCAGTGATATCTGCACCAGAGAAATTGCTCAAATGAGGTTTTAGAATTCTGCATATAATGAAGAATTTATTGCAATTGTTAATTTCACTAGAAATATATGTTAAAATATCCAGCTGGATTTACAGTTGTCATCGTGTAGCTTTGCGGGAGTTTTAGTTAAAATTCTACTCGCTTCAAAACATCCTGCTTAATGAGGTATTCATTTTGTGTTTCCCCCATGTAATGGCTTACCATGATTGCAAATCATTATCATCCGAATTACCTACAAGCACAATGCATATCCCTGATACGAGTCAAGCACTGAACGTTGTGTTGACGATACCAAATGTAATCCTCACTGCTAGTCATCATTGGATCACCAATGTTGCTGACACAGGGTTCACATCGCTGGTCTCGTCCATGTGTAAAGCTATGCCAAAGCAAGCAACGATTTGCAAATTCGAGAGCCATTTCGACTGCAAGGTACTTTACTTCTATTTGGTAAAATCCCGAAATCAAACAAACGGTCCACTCCTAATAATCGTACTGAATTTGATATATGACATTATGAACGCGAATATATCAGTTTGCAATCAATATTTAGTTTTACTTCTCAAACACTGAGGCTGTTTTCAGGATACAGGGGTTAGATGAGAACGTGAATTCCTCACATCCCTCGTGTTGGGCACGCAATCTGATCGTTTCTCGCACTTCTGTGACGAGAACCAGCAATAGGTACATTACGTTACGGTGGCTAATGAAGCGGTCAGAGATTACTCAATCGAAGCTTTGGGAAGCAATATTGTACTGATAATATAATACGGTAGTGATATGTCTCACGAAGTACAAGGTATATCGTGCTTATTTTTAGTGCAGTTAACGCCATGCCTTGCACTATGTCGGACACGGAATAGGGAATTAGGTTGAATAGATTGCAAGGCTTTGTTCTACATCAGCTAGTGAGCCGTCAGTTGACAGCCGATGTTCACATTAGTGATATCACTCGTAGTATACAGATGAGTTCAAAGTCAACCTGCAACGTGATGGCTTTTCCATACGCAAAGCTTCAAACTTTTGTCGTTTACTAAATATTGCATTTTACGTAATAGTTGCCAAATACCGAACAGCCCCCTTGTGAATTCTGTGATAACGCTGTTAGAGAAAACGGCTTGATTTTTTGATTGCTGTGCTAGGGTTCATATTTTGAATGTTGGAGTCCATACAGGTCCTTGCCTCCTTCTATGTATTCCGCATGTCTTCAAACACATTTTGCGCAACTAATTATGCAGAGAAATGCTGCCACAGATGTGCTTTAATTTCATGGATTCTGCTCCTAACCCGACATGTCCAAGAATGAGCGTCCACAGCCACATTGTGTTCCGCACTGGTTCAGATTCCATATAAATCTCAAACCGAACCTATTACACTCTCCCATGACAAGTAATTTCCTCGGCATTTGAGTGGTTCTGAAGGCAAGATATCAACTCAGTTTAATGCTACGTTGGTGGTAATATTGCTAACTTTAATGACGAAATGGAATTATCAAATGGGTGAGGAACTTTAGCAAACAACACGAATGTAGGTCCTGCATAATAAATGGCAAATTTTTACTGCAAACCAAGTCATGCATAAGTTTGCCGACTTGAATCCTCTAGTATGTTTAAACTTTGTGTCATCATATTTGATGTTACTTGGACCATCCATATTGGAATACAATAATCGTGTAATAGTCAAATTGAACTCACCGTTCATTTTGGGCTGATTGGTGCTACTACTGTCTGCATGAGTAGCAGGGGAAAATGTTTTGTCATTAGAATCGAATTGCTGCAACCAAAAATAAAATGCTAATCCTTCATTCCAGTTAGATAAAATGCTCATACAAATACATTATTTATGAGTCAGTATTACCAACACACGTAATACAACAGTGGCCATCCGGTATGTGACCAAGTTATGTTAGAACCGGCAGCTCTAGCTTAACGAGCCAGGGTTTAGTGTCTATTGCTTTGTCCCTTACAAAGATTATAAACAGAGTTACAGTGCAATTTAGCTTGCTTATAAGCCCCTTGACAATATTGCTTAAGTCTAGATAATATAACTAGCTTCTGGTCACAAATCAGTATTCCGGCACAAGTTTAGCGAAGGATCTATGTTCACAGTTTTGAGTAGATTGTAATGCATGCATCTCATCCGATTCGAAATGTTGCACAAGAACTGCCTCACATGTAACCCACTAATATTCATGCGAATCATCAGGTTCAGGGACGCGATATTCCGATTTATTTTTAGTAGGCTGTTTTTCCAAGTAAATCAGATTAAATGACCTTAACCGACTGGCACGCAAGCTGTAATATTTTCGATGCTAAACGATAACCCTTATTGTATAATATCTACAGGATGAATTCTCGCTTCATTTCTGGAGGGAATCTCGTGGATATAAATATGGCACATGTCTCATTGTGTCTCCAACTTTATTCACTTTGGAACTTTAATACATTTTATGAGGAAGTATTAGGCTAACTAAACGACCAATTTTGCCATATGTTATCACGCATGTTCTATCATAGTCATGATGCATGTGGTTTATACAGATTAGAGTAAATTCGAAGTTCGTCAACGACACCTGTTTTGATTTTGTCCCCCAAACGACTGAATGACGGATAAAACTTTGTTTAATATTGAGATTAGCGGGACCGGCTGTAGTTCGGATTAGGTAAAACTTACTTCTCTTTCTGGGGATTTGTGTGGCCGTCTTTGCTGTGGAAACAAAGGTAGGAGTATACGAATTTTGGGTTAATATTGGGTCATTGATTACAGAAACCACGCTCAGTGGAAACGGAAACGTCAAAAATTATTGATATGATCTTTTATCAATCGTAGCATATTTGCAGCTCAACTAAGCAATCCGGTTCACATGTAAGAATAGGACCAGTTGATTAATGTCATAGGAATTTAAGCTTCGAAAACAGCTCAAACTCGTTCTCTTTTGCATTTCTAACGTAGATTAAAAGGGTTCTAAGCCAAACGACCTCATTCAAACTGGATTAATATGAGCAAGTGATTTGCGTATTACAGGCACTACCCAAACCAGTTAAAAAGCCGCAGATTAGAAGAAAATATACCGCCATTTTCAATTTCACTATGACAACTACATATTTATGTATCCGGGAGTGACTGAAATCTTTGTCGTGCAGCTTTGCGGTAGTTGTTGTAATCATTTTGGCACTACTGTCATTAAAGACGCATTGGCTCTTATACTTAGGTTTCAACATCCCTTGTCCAATAAAGTATTTGTTGACGTTTGCCTTAAGCAAAATTTTACTACCAGTTTTAATTATTGGCATCCAATTTAGTTGCACACACAATGAATACTTCACATGCGCATCAAGCATTGCATACTGTATCGACAATTCAAAAGCGACCATCATTATTTTCAGAGATAGCTGCTACTCTACTTTGCATCAAGACAATTGCTAACTCGAGGCTCATTGCAAAATACGCTATTAAGTTATTTTGTGTTACTCATAATCATATGCCAAAGAAACTAGGTGGTTGTGACAGCTTCGGTGAAACGAACGAAGCAAAGGTCTGGATAATGCAGCATATTCTTGAAACCTGATCTGTGCTGTATCCAGTGCCACCTGAACGCTAGATGCTACGTGCGGAGGAAGCTGGATTTCTGCGCTAGCGCGGATGTTCAGGCGGTTAGGGATGTTAGTCTGTTGCACGTTGAATTTACTTGATAAGCGTTCCATTATTTCGGAAGTCAGAGCACTGTCGGCTCTGTTTATAAAACTTGCTGCGCGATCATGCACGGATTGGTAGTTGCAGTGCGTCAACTCCAGATTAGTTGAAACTCCAGCGGTTAATGACCACAAATGAAGCAACTGTTAAATTCACTAAATGACGGAGAGTAAAGGCTTAGGAATGTTTAGCATTGAAAAGTCAGACCTCAAATGCAGCTAGATATAGAGCATGGTTTGGCTATAATTTTGCCATATATTCAAGCCCCGATGCTGGCTGTTATTCGACTAGAATAGGGCAGGAGAAATGCACCATAAATATAGTACTTTTTTTACTCTGGTTGGTGGCCAGAAAATCGGCACAGCGAATCTTTCATGGTTTACTAACTAGATTGGCTAAAAGCGT